ATGTAGGGGTCAAATTTATTATTTTCTTCATCTATGCACAGGGATGATCGGGCAAGGGTAAGATTAATTTTAATAACCCAAAATTCAAATAACCCAATAACTCAATAACCAAGTAATTTTTTTAATAGCAACCCTCATTTTGTATCATGGACTCGGAAAGAGCGGGAAATTCTACGTTTAGATAAGGTATTATGTGTGGGGTGCGGTCAACCCCCCCTCCTATTCCACCGAGGCAAGGGTAAGGTCAATAATAATAATAATAAGAATAATAATAATAATCACCGGCTCCAGGGGAGAGAATTCCCCCAGAACTGACGGGCCGGCAAAGAGCGGAAGACTGACAGACGAGACAGCCAAATTAATAGACAGCTTGTGCAACGGCACAATGCCGAAACGTCGACAGATACAACAAAGACAATATTGGTGGACGAACGAAATAGCCGAGTTACGCAGGATATGCATGACAAATCGGCGACGAATGACAAGGGCAGGGGGCGGACCCGAAAGGGAAAACCTCCAAGCCATATACGAAACAGCACGGAAGACGCTGACGAAAGCAATACGGGACAGCAAGATGCGATGCTGGAGGAAGCTCTGCGAGGAGGTGAACGAGGATCCCTGGGGAACCGGCTACAAGATTGTGACCGGGAAACTAGGGGCCCGAGTCTCACCGGAACTTAAAGATGTCGAAACAGCAGGACGGATTGTTGACGGATTGTTTCCGACACACCCGATTAGGACAAACGTGATGGATGACGTGGACGCACAAATGCCCCCCGCTTTTACCGCTGAGGAGCTCATCAGAGCAACGAATGCGATGAAGACGGGTAAGGCACCGGGACCGGACGGAGTACCATCCGAGATCCTCCGGCTTGTGGCTCGTCTACGGCCGGAGATACTCCTCGACCTGTACAACACGTGTTTGACGACAGGAACGTTCAGCAACCGGTGGAAGGTGGCAAGGCTCGTTCTTATCCCAAAAGGTAGGGGCGATCCTGGCACGCCTTCGGCTTACCGACCGTTGAGTTTACTTCACACGACTGGTAAACTCTTTCAACAACTACTGAGACCGAGACTGATGGATGCGATACAGACCGGAGGAGGTTTATCAGATTTGCAGTTCGGTTTCAGGAGGGGTCGATCGACGATTGGAGCGATCCAAAAGGTGGTCGATTCTTTCCTGGAACTAGACAGACACTCCCACGCTGCGCGACCTATAGTGTTACTGGCGACGCTCGACATTAGGAATGCTTTCAATTCGGCCAGGTGGAAGGATATCTTGGAGGCGCTGAAAAGCAACTTCGGGTTCTAGCCATATTTGCTTCGGGTTGTGGAGGATTACCTAACAAACAGACGGATAACGTAAGAGACGTTCGAAGGACAAGTAATGAGACAGGTCACCACTGGGGTGGCACAGGGGTCGATACTGGGACCTGACTGCTGGAATGGCTTATACGATAGCTTGCTTCGGCTTGGGATGTCGCTCGGAGTGACCCTAGTCGCTTACGCTGATGACGTGGCGGCGGTGGTTACGGAGAGGTCCCCCGATTTGGCGCAGCTGGTGTTGAACCAGACCATGAGACGAGTCGGACGATGGATGACAGACCACGGACTACAACTCGCAACTGAAAAAAAAAACTGGAAAAAACGGAACTGATGTTTCTCACGAGAAGACGCATACAGACGATACTGCACATGAGGGTGTGGACATGCGAGATAGAGATCAAGAGGGAAGTCAAGTACCTTGGGGTAACCCTCGATATACGAAGATGACCTTCTGGCCTCATATACAGAAAACAACCCGGAAAGCGGCAGAGAGGATAGCATCCTCGAGTTGCTTGATGGCAAATACGACGGGACCGGGATCGGGAAAACGACGACTGTTAATGGCGGCAGTCACTCGATCCTTCTATACGGCGCGGAAATATGGGCAGACTCCCTGAAGACAAAAAAATACTGTAAAACGATGATGAAGGTACAGAGACAGGGCGCACTGCGAATCGCTTGCTCCTACCGAACAGTCTCTGCGCAGGCTGTTTTGGTGGTGGCTGGCGTAATACCTGTGGATCTTCTGGCCTTCTACGGGAGCAGCGCGGACATAGGACGAAACAGCGTGGCAATCGCTGAGCGCGACAGGATAATTGACATGTGGCAAGGCCGATGGATAGAAGAACGAGGTGGTAATTGGACGAGACGATTGATACGGGACTTGAGGCTGTGGCTCGGAAGGAAATTTGGTGATGTAAATTTCTACGTCACCCAGCTCTTGACGGGCCACGGGTACTTCTGATGGTACCTTTACAATATGAACAGACTACGAACACCCGACTGTAAGTACTGTGGACACGAACGAGACGACGCGGAACACACGTTTTTCGCGTGTGACCGCTGGACAAGACTCAGACAGGAACTGGAAGAAACAGTCGGCAGCATCACCCCCGATAACATCGTGGCTCTGATGCTGCGTGAACCCGAATGGTGGCACTTAGTCGCTATCTATACGGAAACTATACTGAGACGTAAGAACGCGGACGGCTGCCTGACAGATGACTGAGCAGACGAAGTAACACGACGTAACGAGATACGGAGGAACGACACGAACCGACGAACACAGACAGAACCTCCAGTCAGAAGTAATGTTAACATAGTCCCTCGTTGGGGGAAGGATATCAAGGAGGTGCCGGTTTAGTGGGTAGGCCTATTTTTGTTCGGGGAGTACCACATAACCCCTCAGTCAGAAAGACTAAGGGGAATCCACAAAAAGGATTCCGCAACACCTTGTAAAAAAAAAAATAATAATAATAATAATATTAATATTAATAATAATGATAATACCCCAATACCCAAGATAAATAAGAGTTCGATTATCAAGGTCGTTTTTTATTTAATCATTACGTGTGTTCATGCCACATTTAGTAACGTGAACCAATCTAACCAGTGTATGCAAAGAGGGAGTGTCCAGTCTATCTAGGCAACGTGAGATGCTGAGCAGATCAAGACAAGACGTTGGCTACCCAGCCAATGAAGGCAATGTATTAATTACCCAGCCTAATATTGGAAGGTGGGAATGCCCAGCCAATGAAGGCGAGGTATTGATTACCCAGCCCATTAAAGCAAGGTGTGAATACCCAGCCAATGAAGACAAGACAATGACTACAGATAGAGTTATGGTCAATGTTGTAACAAAAACATTTATCTCAATAAAATGTTCAAAAATACCGCCGTTCAAATTTATGCAGTGTTGAATTCTACTTTCGAACTTTTCAACTGTGGACAACAAAACGTGACGCGGAATAGCTCTATAAGCTTGTATGATACGTTGCATCATATCTTGCCGTATTGTTGGTTGCTGTGCATAAACAATACTTTTCAAATAGCCCCATAAAAATAAATCTGGACTTGTTAGATCTGGTGATCTTGGACACCACTCAGTAATATCACTACCGATGCCTATCCATCGTCTTCGGTATCGTTGGATCAAAAAGTTACGAAATATTAGTGAGCGATGACATGGTGCACCGTCCTGATGAAGCCATAATCGTCGTCTTGTTTCCAAGTCCACATCTTCCAATAATTCTGGTAATTCATTCTGCAGGAAATTAAGATATGCTGCGTCGTTGACATTCCCTTCGAAAAAATAAGGTCCTGTCAGATAACCATTTATTATACCGCACCAAACTACGAGGCTCCATTTATGTTGATTATCAACATGACGTACCCAATGGGCGTTCTGGATAGACCAATTATGATGGCGATTGAGTTGCCCATTACTATGAAATGTAGCTTCGTCCGTAGCTTATGTTGTTAACATTACGTATCTAAACAATTCAGGATCTTCACGAATCCTTGCTTGTGCTCAATTACTGAAGTCGGAGTCTGCGGCGGAGATCACCTGGCATCAAAGCTTGAGTCAAAATTACGTGATACGGATGAAATATATGAAGCCGCAAAATTCTACCGGCTGTTGTTCTTGGGATTCCAGTACGTCTCTGAATTTCACGCAAAGAGATATGATGATCCAAATCAACCATTGCCAAAACAACGAGAATTCGTGGATCATCGTTGTTCTGTCTCATAATGCGACGACGAATTCTGCGTATTCGTGGTCGACGTCTCTCTCTCTTCGTTCAATAATTCGGATTCTCAAGTGGTTTGGGTACCGAAGCCTCCCTGGGTAATTCTGACGGTAATATCTTGGTGCAGCACGATATCGACCTTGACATGCCCCGAGAGATAACAGAATGCCAACAATTTCTTTTCTCAAATAATCCAGCATATTTGGCCGTTTGAGTCGCTAGATACTAAGAAATTTCCACGTGAACTATCCTGAGAAGGACTGTTCACGAGTCACCTCTTTCATAAATAATAACACTAAAATAGTGTTATTTTCCGATTTAGTTGAAACTCTGTAGGCTTGTCCGGAATCACACCAGAAAACTTTGATTCTTAATGCCTTTCTGAATAAAAAAAAGTTAGAAGAGGATTAAATTAAATTCACAATTTTGGTAGACAAAAATATGGGAAAGAAATTATTTCCATCCTTATAAAAAGTAAGGGTTGCAACCCTCTGGAGCTTTGGTACGCTACGTGACACTTTTATTGAGTAACAATGAATATCCAGTTGGTTCCAAGAGAATATCTCACTTAGAAGAAGAGATATATAAAAAAAACGGTCTTTGGGGGTGAACTTTAGGGGCAGTTTTTACCCCTTTATACCACGTATTAGCACATAAAAAAGTACCTGTCAACTATTTTGCAGTCCTCTACCACATATCAAAGTTTCATGGAAATCGGTTACTTACACTTGGTGTACTTTCCTTGTGAGTAGTATTTTTACTCTGCATTTATTAAATAAACAGTCAATTTCGTTTTCGTAGTTTTGAGGTTACGTTTTGAAGCTATGCAAAAATGATCAGGTATTTTTAATTTTTTATTCAATAAAGTGATGATTAGATTGTAGAATTTATTTGAAAGATTTAATGCATTATTATTTGTTTCAGAACGATACGACACAGCTTATGAATGTGAGGGAAAAACATTGAGGATAGAATGTCGAGAAGGCGAGTTGATTCATCTAATCCGAGCAAATTATGGTCGATTTTCGATAACTATATGCAACGAACATGGCAACACAGACTGGAGCGTCAATTGCATGTCACCTAAATCATTCCGCGTTCTGTATAATAAGTAAGTACATAAATTTTTCGCGTTCATTTGTTTTAACGTATCGTATTATATGTAAATAATTTCATGAAACTATAAATATGTATATACAAGTATATATACTGTAACGGTTGGTTAACGGGAATAAATTAATCAACACGTTATAGTTGTTCCGTCTTTCGCTGTGAGGCTAAACGCTACCTTAACCTGTTTCTGGTATGGTTGGTATTACTGTGTACACATTTGACGCTGTTAAAAATGAGTACGAAAGCATGAAACAATGGACAATTTAATTCTGGTTATGGGTTTTTACTGCTAGCGGAGATTAGCGAGACATTATTAGCAGTCAAACGATTAGCATAATACGAAATACAAAAAAAAAGTCAGACCTTGATTGCACCTTTAATAACAAAAAATAACATTTTGACCGAGAGGTTTATATGCACCGAAGATCACAAACAACAAGACACTTATTGACCGCGATAAAGAGAATGGGTGATTGAGAGAGAGCGAGAGAGAGAGAAAGAGAGAGAGAGAGAGAAAGAGAGAGAGAGAGAGACAGGATGAAAACAATATTAAGCACGAACCAATGCTATGATATACACCGGCTTTGAGAAAATAAAAGTAATCTGCAGTAAATTTCCAAGCGCTTGGAAATGGGGATTGCCACTATAAACGATAATGCGATCGTCGGTGACAAACAGCGGAATCACTTGGGACGTCACCTCTTCCTGGGTAGTCTCGATCGCTGCACTCAGAGGCTACTGGTTTCTTTGAAACAGGCAAACGAGCCCTCTTCAATCGCAATTTTCCACTAGCTTCTAACCTTTCTGGAGACGATATGACCTCCCGCTTTGCAATTCCGCCAACAATCTTATCACTATACGCATTTTTAATATAACCATAAAGTAGGTGGGAAAAAAAAGAAATTCGAGGTCAAAGAAGGCCCTTGGAAAGTGTTCCTCCCCTTTCATCATACGGAGGTCGTTCAATAAGTCTGTGACTTCTCGGAAGATGATGGTGTGATTGCAACGTATTTCAGAGAGTCCCATCTAGTATAAGTGTGTATACAAAGTTTCAAATTAGTACGTTAGTTTGAAAATATTTTACAGTCATTTGAATTTAGTTTTTCATTGTGTGTGCAAAATCATAGAGAAAAGCGAGTTTTTCATTAAACATTACTTTCTACGAGGAAAATTAATCGAAGAAATTAAAAGAGAGCTTGGAAAATATTATGGAGACTGTTCCATCGCATGGCATGGTTCAAAAATAGTTTACTGAATTTCGTTATAGCCGAAGAGTACAAATGATGCTGAGCGTCCTAAACTAAAACGGAAACTACTAAAGACATTATCGATAAAGTTCGTGATATTATATCGCCGATCGTCGATTGAAAGTGTATGAGATTAGTAAGCTTCTTAACATTTCAGTAGGATGCACATTGAACATTTTACATGAATATTTGGGCATAAGAAAGTTGTCTGCAAGATGGGTGCCGCGCTTGCTCACAACTGATTACAAGCGAGCTCGTGTGCTTGTTTCTAAGAAATGTTTGAGCATGTTTCAACATAATCCAAAAGAGATTTTGCAATACTACGTTACTATTGATGAAGCATTGATTCATTATTATACACCAGAAATGAAAAATCAGTCGAAATGGTGAACATCGTTACCAGACCAGGTTAACCCGAACCTATTTCGTACCAAGATGACGAAAATTTTATTGAGTTTTCAACGCCGTAACTTTTTAATTAAACGTATCAAAAAAAATCACGACGTCTCATTTCCTATAGTTTCAAGTTTCCTCTTTCAAATGTTATTATTAAAATAAGCCTGAAGTTTTCTTGGAAGTCATAAGACTAGTTGTTCACTAAAAAAAGTGAAAATTTCAAAATTTTCTCAAAAAATGTCAAATTTTGATCACGAAAGAGGGGAGCCCAATTATTGGAAATATCTGAAAGGGTGACATTAGTCTCTAGCCTTCAAAATGCCATTGAAATTTCTCCGAAATTCCGAAAAATTTTGGCGGATTCACAATGGCTCCCTAAAAGTGAAAAAAAATTGTAAAAACGTGGATTTGTTTATAAATACTATATTTTTTATGCAAAAAACAGTGTCTTATCATGGCAGCCATTGTAACAAAAATATGTTTTTGTCGAACTTTAATTGAATTTTTTCGAAAATTCATGATGACGATGTGAATATACTGTTCAAAACCTATAAAAGTCTATAAATACGTATAATTCTTTATAAATGGTACATTTCCATTATGAATGAATAGCATATGAGCATTGATATATACAAGGTGTCAAATAAGTAACGGAACAAGGCTGTAGCTTTTTAGGTACAGATTATTAGACCAAGGTCAAGGTCATTCCTTTAGTAACTTTCAACGCGGAATCCGATGTTGACCTTGGATTTGACCTCGAGATTGACCTTCAAGGTTATTTCAAGGTCAACTTTGTTTTTTTAAATGGGAACCCGTATTTTTGACAACGGCAATCGAAAGAGTGGAGAATTTTACGTCCAAAACGGTATTTTTAAATTTTTTTTCATGGCCTTGAGAAGGTCGATTTAAGGTCAAATGCTTGAAAAACTGCCTAAAAGCGTTTTTTTAATTTTTAAGATATCGAAAAATGACCTCTACAAAATTTGTTCAGAACAGAGTGGGCCACTCAATGCACCAAAAACCTTTGACCTTTAACCTCATTTTGAAGGTCATTTCAAGGTCGAAGTGTTTTTTGTAATGGAAACCCCTCTTTTTGACCTCGGATTAGCACATAGCGCGAAATCCGACGTTTGGATAAGGTATTATGTTGAGTTTCGATTGATCCACGACGTTCATCGCTAAGGTCATGTGAAATTTAGATCCAATATTATTCGCGAAACATTTACAAAATGTTTCGGGCTAAATTTATTAAATTCTACTGAGAGCATGTTACAGTGACCTTATCTTTGACCTTTGATTGTTTGAATAATAAAGTAACGGGTTATCCAAACCGAAAGTCAAGTTGTTTTAAATGAGGAGCAAGCAGAGACATAGGTACAGTTTTTTTACCGGATAAGTTTTTTCCACTCACTGCGTTTTGAATGTTTCTTTCTGATTTCGCGCTATATGCGAATCCGGGGTCGAAAATAGGGGTTTCCATTACAAAAAACACTTCGACCTTGAAATGACCTTCAAAATGAGGTTAAAGGTCAAAGGTTTTTGGTACATTGGGTGGCCCACTCTGTTCTGAACAAATTTTGTAGAGGTCATTTTTCGATATCTTAAAAATTAAAAAAACGCTTTTAGGCAGTTTTTCAAGCATTTGACCTTAAATCGACCTTCTCAAGGCCATGAAAAAAAATTTAAAAATACCGTTTTGGACGTAAAATTTTCCGCTCTTTCGATTGCCGTTGTCAAAAATAGGGGTTCCCATTAAAAAAACAAAGTTGACCTTGAAATAACCTTGAAGGTCAATCTCAAGGTCAAATCCAAGGTCACCATCGGATTCCGCGTTGAAAGTTACTAAAGGAATAACCTTGACCTTGGTCTAATAATCTGTACCTAAAAAGCTACAGCCTTGTTCCGTTACTTATTTGACACCTTGTATATCAATACACACATGTTATATTTCGATAACTACACTTTTTACAATTTTTTTACCCTCACAATCGATAGCTCAATAAATTTTACATAAAAACAAGTCTTTTTCACAGTGTGCAAATTACAATTGTGAAGGTGTACAACGCGAAATAGTAAAATTGTGAACTTTTAGTACGTAGTACAGTTTACGCGGGAGCGTAGGGCATGGAAGAAAATTGTCTGAACTTTTTGCAACTGAAGCTATTTGGATTTGATCATCAATATTGAAATCATGGATAATTGTTTTGCAATAATTAGATTCATTATAAAAATTTTTTTATTTATATCGCCTGTTTTAACATGTCAACTAAATCAATATTCTCACGAATTATAACATTCGTAAAAACATTAAAAAAAAACAATAAAAAAACGAAAGAATAGAAAAGGCTCTTGAAACAGCGATTACCTCCACGTGGTAAGAGTTGGGCAAAAGCAGAGTATTTTTACACTGTGAACAGGACTTTTTTTTATGTAAAATTTATTCAGCTATCGATTGGAAGGGTAAAAAAATTGTAAAAAGTGTAGTTATCGAAATATAATATGTATATATATATATATATATATATAAATGCTTATATGCTATTCATTCATAATGGAAATGTACCATTTACAAAGAATTACACGCATTTATAGATTTTTATAGGTTTTGAACAGTATTTTCACATCGTTATCTTGAATTTTCGAAAAAATTCAATTAAACTGCCACAAAAATATGTTATTTTTACAATTAATAATGGTTGTTGTAATGATAAGATACTGTTTTTTACATGAAAAAATATAGTATTTATTAAGAAATTCACTTTTTTACGAATTTTTTACTTTTAGGGCGCCATTGTGAATTTGGCATATTGAATTTCGGAATAATCCCAATGGCATTTTGAAGAATAGAGAATACCATCCTTTCAGGCTCCCCTACAAGTTAATTTACAACCGGCACGCCGTACATTCACGTACTATGACGAAATGAACAACTTAATAAATAATACTGACTGACTTACGAATCGTGCAGTACTCACTCTAATATATGGAGAGCCGAATTTGTGTTGGATTACTAATATTTTATTGTTACAATAATTCCTGTAAATAATTAGGCATTTTGGCTTCCGATCGTATCAATTAGAATAAGATCCAAGTTTACAAGTTGAATAAATTTATAAGGACTATTCACGGTGAGCACGAGCGAGCTATAGAGCTATTATTCCAGGTTGACTAGTAAAAAAAATTCATCTTAATTAATCTTAAGAACAATTCAAAAAACCACCGATCCAAATTATACATGCGAACCGTGCAAAAGCCATCGGCAAACTCTCGGCTTTTCCTCTCTTATTATTTCCCTCTTAGCCGCGAGTTTTGCCCAGAGAGAACGATACATATTCGAATTATTGCGAGTTTAGCA